CCAATGGTGGTTGGTAACTCATCATAGGATCTGACAAGACAAATACGGTCGACCACATCTGAAGGTACCCTGTACCTTGAAAAGCCACCATAGCGGCCATATGCTCTGGAGGGAAGGGAGCTGTATGTCCTTGAGGGAAGCCCTTGCGGTAACCAGGAGGAGGGGGAGGCCTCTGCCTCAGCTCCTCGGGGCTGTGGGCGTAGAAGCACCTAGCACCGTACCTGGCAAGCATGAATGGTAAAATAACGATTCGGTATCGCCGTCTCACTTGCAGTGATCCCCATAACGGCAGAATCTGGTTTTAAGTAGCCTCTTGACGACATCGCTCATTTGCGGCGGCTCACCGCTGCTCACATCAGCATTGGTCACCACTGGGGCTGCCTGGGGGGCAGAGCCTTGTTCGGGGTCGTAGGCAGGAGGAAGGGTGAAAGGCTCCTCCTTGGGGGCATTAGGATAATCAGATTCACACACGTGAAGGGGAGTCGCGGTTGTAGCAGTATCCATAGGCAACAGCAATGTACCGCCACAAGGGAACAACGTCAACTGAGGGAACAGTCTCTGCGACCACTGCTGGTCCGACACTCTAAAGAGGCCGACTAGGATGGGCCCGTCACAGCTGGGCTGGGCCGAGACTAATTTACGCCCCGGCCGTAGGTCAACTAGCAAGGGCCAACCTCAGCTCGACAAGGGAACGAGAGCCCACACCGCGACATAGGAAATCCCTACTAGAAATGACACATCGGTCGTTGTTGCGCACTTGCAGTGATCGATCAGAATGGCGCGCGCTCCATACCACGCAAGATGGGCAAGAGTCATCCATGCGAGATTATCCACGATGAGGCACACAAGAGGAGATGTTCATCGTGGTTTCGGACGGGTACCACCCCGAGGGGGGCCTCTACACCCAAAGCGACTTAGTCCACCCGGCCATCTGCAATACCACATACGTTATTGGTCTTAGGGGGGAAGGCTGCCGTAATACGGCAGCCGTATGAACACATGTCGTGATGATTACTACTATTGTTCAAGTCAAGCTGAACTGAGATGACGACTTGAAGGATTGTATCAACCTAGCATAGCTAAGCTAGATACCCTGTAGTTGACGCTAGTCTCTATTCGTAGTTCCTAAGTGATAATGCGATTATGATCTCATAGTAACGTGATGATAATTTTGCAGGGTTCTTTCTTATTTCTATTGTGTTAACTTACCACAACGGCTAAGTATAGTCCGGCAGCCTTGTAAGGCATTGTCCTGCAATCATACTCAGTGTAGTGTTATCTCAATGGGAAGGGCAAATCACTAACATTACAGACAATACAGCTTGTCCTCAAAGAAGATAACAAGCTCAGGATAGCAACTCACCAAGAAATGAATATTAGGGTTAGTGAAACATGGAAGTGAATGACCTACACAGGAGCAACAAGTACTCTTTTTCCCAAAGTGTCATCAACTAATTAAACCACGACTTCGGTATGAGAAATAACACTAACACTTTTACCATCATCGTCAATTCCACTACAACTCCAACGAGGTTAATGGTAGTGTTTCCTTCTGCTCGACTACTTCAGACCTCGTCGTTATGCAAGCGAAACTCACTCGACTGAGACAAGATTCACCCTCATGAAGTTGCTCCTATAAGAGTCTCGAGCAAATCTCGAGTGCACAATTTAACAATCGTTGAAGTACAGATCCTTTAGCCGCTGTGCCGGTTTCGGCATGAGTGAAGAATCGCAAGGGCAGCAAGATGATGATATCTGGTTATATTTGATTGTGTTATTGTCGTCTTGCGTCTTGTTTCCGCTGTCTCTTAGCGCTAGTTGTAAGACGTATTAGTCATTACTATATTGAAGTAGTTGTGATTTTTTACACTCGCTTACTATCGTACTTCGGCAGTGCGATTCCAGGTGATTGTGGGTGTTTTGTTTACTCAATAAAACCTGCATACCGCTACTGTACCAGTAGACTCTGAATAAACTACCAACACAATACGTGGCGAATCACTGATAAACTTTTTGACGTCTTCGAGATTTCTTTCGCTCTCCTACAAAAATGAGTTTTCATCACGACGCAAGTCATCCAGTGTAACCCACCCGTATTAGTGGTCGTAGCCTGGTGACGTTGAGCGATCGTCCTCTTCAACAACTTCACCACTTCTGCATGAAAATTGGATCGATGCTCTTCTCGCCTTGCCAGATCCAAGGCCGTGCACCTACAGCGCGACACTCGCCTCCCTCAGCTGAGCTCAATATTTTCCAGGAAAATTTTTCCTCACAAATCAAGAAAATTTATATACGAATTGGGAGAATACATACAATTAATGTACAGAAAATCACACGGATTTTCCAAAATTTTCTCGGAGTTTTCATTTTCTCACCAACTCGCGTGGTTGACCATGGGCAACTTTTGCCACACTGATTGAGACATTAATATCTAACACGTGAGAAAGGTGTCTATAGACTCCATGTTGGAATCATCTCGAACACAGCGGAGCGAAGCGTTTCGCGATGTGCATAAAAACCCATCCCACTCACCCAAACCTGTCCTTGGTGCCCAGGTTGGCGCCTTTCATGATGAGCAGTTGGCAAGTGGCTGGTAGCCCCCGCTTAGCCGCAACATGGAGAGCTGTTTGACCTTGATCCGTAACCTGGCCGATATCAGATGACAGTGTGGGAAACTATTCACATGAAAATTCTGACAAAATTTACGGAAATTTTGAGGAAATTTACAAAAATTCTCATTAGTTTCCTTACTCTTCTACCCGAATTCCTATAAATTAGCTAGGAAACTCCCGAGGGAAGCGAACACATACTCCACCGTTCCTACTTGTTCCTTATCTGCCCCTGCATCTAGTAGCGTAGTAACTGCACCTGTAGCCCCGTATTGAGCCGCCACATGTATTGGAGCCGCCCCCACTCCTAACCCATCGATAGGATGCGGGTACTTCACATTGGCGTCGACTTCCTGGGTGACTGGTGACAGATGAAAACACGTGAATGCCTCACTTTGTGCCCGATTAGGTCGGCAATAGTGAGAGAGTCGTTGCTGCGACATGCGGCGAATAGAGAGTTCATGGGGTGCTCCTAAAACGAAATGATCGAATATCAATAACATAAAATAAACTAAAAATTATATAAATAGTAGCGAAAATTTACCGAAAAAATGAGAAGAATAACTACAATGGGAGTAAATGGTAACGAAAATTTACCGAACAAATGAAAAATCACCTACAATGGGAATAAATGGTAGCGAAAATTTACCAAAAAATGAGAAAATTAACTACAATATATATGAAAAGTAGCGAAAATTTACCGAAAAATGAGGAAATTAGGTGGTATATAGTTTTCGCCCAGGTCGTTAAACTACGCGATACAATTTAGTTTCACCCTAGTGATATGAAAAACACTAGTGAAAAACAAATCTCACTACTGCATATCACCGCGAATATCGCGTTTTTCACCGAGTTTCACGCCACTTCGCGTAAAACGGGTGAAACTCCACTGTAGTTTCACCGTTCGACGTGAAATGGCGTAATATTCTACTTTAGAAAACGTAATATTCGCGATATACATCACGCGTTTTTCACCAAGGGAAATGTGATTTATGTTTTTCTTATCACTAGGGTGGAACTCCAACATCACCTCAGCTGCTTTCTGTCGGACTTTTTCTTCTCGCAACACTGCTATTCTATTTTCTTCCTCAACACTTCTCACCTTAGTCCGTGCCTGATCAGCCGCTCACCCTACAAACAGAGACTTTTCAAAACTCACCCGAACCCGTCGAGATTCACTTGCTGCTAGTTTAACGCGTTTTTTCGAGCCTTTTGCCACTACTATTCCCAGAGATTCCAACACAGTAGGAGTCTTGGACTTCTTCGGTCGGCTCGGCGCTGATGCTGCTACTGGTGGTTGTTGTTGTTGGCTACTAAGACTTACCTCTCCTGTAGACGAGCCGATCGGTGGTGTAGTAGTAGACATCGTCAAATGAACTATAGGTTCAAAAATGAGGACGATGCAAAGTCCATGTTCACATATCATGTTTGGTAACAGTAATCATGTCGGGGAATATCACTCACCCTTCCAAACACGCGTTTTCTAAATGCTTTTTATATAATTAGTTTCTCACCCTGGGAAAAATTCATTCACCGAGAGCCTTGAGAACGATACTGTGAGCAGTGTGGGAGGGGAGGGGGAAGGCGAAAATATAGAAAATTTCGGGAAAATTTTGGGAAATTTTTTGTTGCTTCCTGTACACTCTCACCCGAACTCGTATATGAACTCCCCTATAGTGATTCGACTCATCACTAACTATGGGGGAATTCACATAAGAGTCACTGATGAAACGCCTGTTCTAGGCGGGAGATTTCCATTTTAATATAAATCTGCCAAGAATATATTTCAACACTAACATTGCCCACTGAAACCCCCCAAAGGCTACAAGCGTTAATAACTTTAAAAATGGAATCTTGATTTCTGTTGATATGCAAATACAAACAGAATCCTGACAGAATTGACAGATCACACAAACCACACCAAACAGCATGATCCACTAGTCTTCCTAACATAATACAAATACTCAATACTTGATAGTATATATTAATATTAATAGTATTATTATATATTAATATTGATATATTAATATAAATATATATTAAATCTTCATATTATATATTAATATTGATAGTAATATTGATACAAATACAAATAGTCGATACTCAAATAGACCCAGTCCTTGCTAACTCAACTGCATACAATGTGCCGTAGCAGAAACATGATTCTATCAAGGCATTTCAGCCAATCTCCGGCGTTGCTCCTCCACCTCTGGCTGTAATACAGCGTCGAACTCTTTATCAATGTAATACCCGACACCAAGCTTATCCCTCTTAAAAACATATCCATCAATCGATCCCGCGAACTCTGGAGAGGGTTTAAATTCTTCAGCGTTATAAACTTTCGGCTTCAACTGAAAATACATGACCACGTTAGAAGAGGGAAACCAAACCAGACAGGAACCTATAATGTTCCCGGGTCTCTAGCCGTACGACTAGGAACACATTCTTCAATCAGTTTCCCATGTAAATGTCATCATCACATAAGGAACATTTCCCCCCATTGTTACCAACCCCTGGGAAACGTTATTTCTCGAAGTTAAACGGATCCCTGGAATCAGGTTGATTCAAAACGAGATCGCTACGTTTTTTTTTCTCAAAAACACTATGGAACTTTTCCATGTCATAAACTTTTTACCGCTAAGTTTATTTTCTTAAAGTTTTATTTTTTTCGGTACCATTTTTCCCATGGGTCAATAAAAATACCGAAAAAAATATTGTTACACTCAGTTCATTCGGAAATTCAGGAGCTTAATTTAACCAAAAATTTTTCCCAAACACTCGTAAAAATAATTTTTTTCTCAATCACTCGCAAAACTATGAATTTTTTCCCCAATCACTCCTGGAAATAATTTTTTTTCTCAATCGCTCGTGAAACTGAATATTTTTCCCTGCGAAACCCATAGTGTACCAGTTCCAGTGCAGGATCGAGAACCTCAATAAACTTATCCGCTTCTTTTTTCCCTCCATTACCATACACATCTTGATACGTTTTGTATCTACCACCAAGTGAAGTTTGATATTAATACCACACCTCACGTGAATGCTGAAGTAACAGCACACGCCAGAGCAGTGATTGCTAGTTTATACGTGTCTTTAGAAGCCATCAAAATAAAGGCGAATAAACTACCCAAAACCCATACACTGCATCAACACAATCAGATCAACTTCAATAGAAACATCGATCAGTCTGGTAGTGGCAAAGCTACTTCTCGTGAAAAAAAAACTTCGCCACTACTACTACGTTAATAATTTACATATGTTGCAGCTCTAGTGGGCTAACTAGCCTATGTGAATATTTTCCTACACCGATAAAAAGTCTAGAATCGACTCCATTACCATCGCAGTGACTTTTCTCCAGAGCGATCGTGGAAATCGCAATGTACTGTATATTGGAGGACAGACCCCCACCGCATCCACTTCTACCATTTTCTCGGTGGCTCAATAAATCTACGCCATGAACTATACAGGGAGAACCAAACAGTTATTCGAATGATTCGTCAACTAAAGGCACTACGGAACGCTTTTAAAATGTTGACAATCGATTCACATTCTCATTATGTTCATATTACCCGAAGTTTACTCTCGAACTCCCGGAGATCCAACACCCATAAGGGTTTGATTCGCACCGTAGTTGCCCAACACTCCCTATGTTATGACCTTTCTTTTCAAATTACTCTACTGCCAAAAACTCCCGAGTCGTCGCCAGTCTGGAGCTTACGGAGAATCATCCATCTTGACTCTCATTCGATACTTAGCAGTTTTACCCATTTTACGTGAAGTAACATAATACTCTGTGAAATATAGCGCAATATTCTCGCTATGCACTAGTCGTGAAATACATTTTCCATACCACACATGAAACTCCAATGATAACAACAAACATTAGTCCACCCGAAAGGTCCCAAGTTCGAATCCCACACCTTGCATCTCCCAAAAAAATACACAGCACTCGACACCGATGCGAATAAACTCAACTCGAATTCGAACATCTTTTAAAGCGGACAACCTGGGCGTACGGGAGAATCAGAAATTGGTATATGTGGTGATGAAATCTCAATCGCTCGTTACAAAAAGAATACTACCATACTCTCGCGAAATGACCGAGGAGGCGTATTAGCGAGGAACGTGTCGGCCAAACCCGTATCGGACCTGAATCTCTTTCAATTCACCACTAATTTTAGTGATGCATTGTAAGATGAGTATCCTAGCACAAAAAGTATGTCTGTCCCCATTGTGCCGTTCGTATCCTAGCCTAGCTTTGCAATATATATATGTGTTACATCAAATTTCCTCACTGAGAGCTTATCTACGAATCGGATTACAAGTCAGCAGAAATCCCCAAAAATTTCCTCAAAATTTTCATATTGTCACCAACACATGTGGTTGACCATATGCATATTTTCCCACACTGTCCTCAACTGAGCTCATAAATTCCCAAAATTTTCCCAGAATTTTTATATTGCCATCAACACATGTGGTTGACCATATGCAATCTCTACCATTATTACCGGCAAAATTCTCTACTATCGATAGTTCCATCACCATCAATATCGAAATCACTCCATAATGCATCGATAATCATACGGGCCGTCTGAAAAAAACCAGAAAATAATAGCAGAAAAATTCAAATTTTCGAAAATTTTCTACCGAATTTTGCTCCAAAGAAGCCCTCTGCCACCCAAACGTTTTAATGAGAGCTCGAGTGACTTCCTCCTTATCCAATACGCCATTCCGATCTTCATCCCAATACCTGCCATACCACACCATCAACTTTCCTTGGTTGAAATTGGTCGTATTTACTGTGAATTCCAACTTACGTTCAATGGAGTTCCACCAGTTCTACGTAAAGTGTCGTAATTTTCC